TTATCCAGGGTACAAATAGATGCAGTATCTGATAATCAGAACATTGATCATAAAAAAGTTATCCAAAGCACACATTCAGGACTCTGAAATTCAAAATTCTTTATCTCAATCTTCACCGGATTTTAAACTAGAGAAACATTACTTTCCTTTCAAACATGTTACTCTCTACTGTAATATGGACACAGGTATACCTCGCCCATTCATTCCTGAATCTTTTCGCTCTAAAAATTTTCAACAGATTCATTGTCTTTCTGATGCTGGTATTTCAGCTTCAACAAAATTAATTATTAAGTGCTATTTTTGGCCTGATATGAAGAAATTTATTAAAAGTGCAGCTCAATCTTGTTTACAGTGCCAAGGTCCTAAAATTTATAGACATTCGAAATCACTGTTGGGTACCTTTTCCTTGCCTAATACAAGATTTGCACATATCCATATTGATTTCATATGTCCTCTTCCACTGTCCGAATGTAACCATTATTCCATGACAATTAGTGACAGGTTTACCAGAGGGCAGGAAGTTATACCTACTGCCGACATGTCAGCTCAGACGATGTGCACAGTGTTAGTGCATAACTGGATAGCTAGATTTGGCTGCCCACTATATATAACAACAGATTAAGGCTGAAATTTTGAATCTCACTTACTTAAGGATTTAATGAAAATTTTGGGTACACATTGCATTAGAACTACTCCTCGGACTAATGGGCTGATAGAGAGGTTTCGTAGGCAACTTTAAAGTACAATAATGTCTCATAACAATCCAAAATGGGCTGAAATTCTGCCTATAGTTCTGCTGAGTATCAGATCTGCCATTAAGAAAGATATAAATGCTACTTGTGCTGAACTTGTTTATGGTACCACATTTACACTACTCTTAGATACGCTGTATGCTACTAATTTCGTGTCTCCTTCTGAATCTTATGTGGCACAGCTTCAATCAGTCATGCATTTAATTAGACCGATTCCAACCTCTAGCATGTTCAACCATCAATTTATGTACACCTGGCACTTCAAACCTGTTCTCATGCATTTCTGAATATTGATTCTGTTAAACCTCCTCTAAATCAACCTTACACTGGTCCTCATGCCATTGTTAAACGAATGTACAAAAAAATTTTTTATTGATGTTGTAGGGATTTATATTTTAACTAATATTTTAAAATTGTATTTGAAACTTTCCTATAAGCCTTCATTCCACTAATTGTCAGTGCCAGAATAGTTAAATGTTGCAGCGCACATGAACAAATGCAAATTTTTTACTTTGAAGGAAGTATTTATAACCTGAGTTTCAGTAGGAGAAAGGGAGAGTTAGGCTCTAGCTGCCGTCTCTGCCGTAGGTGTGTTTGCTTATTGCTGGTGGCTTAATTGCATTTATCCGCTGCCACTAGCTTGAAAGGAGGTTTAATTTATGGGATCTTGCTGAACGGCTCTGTAGGCTAGTTTTATCACTTGTTAATATTTAAACTTAAGTTTCAATTATCTGACTTTCAGTTATCGCACAAGCAAAAGCAAAGTTTCTTAGCATCGAGTTGACACATTGTACATTTTTCAAAGATTTTAATAAAGGGTACTTAAACTCTTCTCCTGTGTAGTTTTCTGCTACTCCAGTATTCAGACAGCTCACCCACCTGAACTCTACAAAGTAAATAAAAAGACTGCAGTTTCAATTGATTGTTTAAAACCAGCATATATGTTGTCAGAACATATAGATTCACCTGCAATTCCTCAGATTCCACAGGAAATCTGCAAAGACTCAACAATTGCTCCAAAACAAGTAGTTACCTGCAGTAGATGTCATGTTCATTTTCCTGAAAATCTAATCACTATAATATGATTGAAGCTTTATCTTGTGGTTTGCTACAAAAGTCATAATGTATAAATACTTGATCTTTTTTTTTTTTTTTTTTTTTTTTTTTTTTTCAAACGTGTTGGGAGTTATATAAAATTCTTATTAACTTTTTATTATTTTTGTTTAACTAAGTTATGCATTGTAAGAATATATATTTCAATAAAAATTTAAGTGATGTTCAGCTTGCATGTGCCGCCCATCCACGTTATGTTGTGTATGCGAAAACTGCCAGCACAACGGCGAACTCGCCCACTTCATCTTTAGCTCAAGTGTAGGATGTATGAATTTTTGTGTAGAAGTTTTCTGTTATGTTATGATAGTTGTGTTAAAAATATGGTGTGTGTGAATAAAGATATGTTTAGCAAAGTGGAGTCATGTCTTTGAAGAATATACACTGAGCCATAACCCACTCACCATAGGGAAAAAGGGTTAAGATAGCCAAAGCAACCAGCTGTATCAAATTTAAAACACCAGATCCAAAAGTAACTAAGATGTATTAAAATGTGCAGGAAAGGTGAGTTAATATAAAATATGTAATCTCAACTCTTAGTCTCTCCTATCACCAATGACAATAAAAACTGATTTCTAGAACTTCAGACCTTATGTGATGAAACCTGTTTTCAGTATCATGTGGAGTTAGTCCAAAATATCGTGTCACAGGTGGTTCTTACATGCTCACTAAGCTATAATATGTCACAACAGCTGGAATTCTATCATAGAGCTACTCTCATGCCTATGTTATATCATATGTTTGTAGGGTATTAATACTACATCTAAAACTGAATAACCATTGTGGAAAGCAAAGAAAAAAAATCTAAAAAAATTCCCCCCCCCAAAATGACAGGAATGCAAGAACACCATGGACAGAATTAGAAAAGGGAAATGGAAGTAAAAACATTCCTAAATCACTTGCTATGAAAGCAAAGAAACAACATTTTCATAAGAGCCAATTTCATATCACAGAAATTACCAAAGATTCCTCCAGGCTTCCTGAAATCAAAGACCTGATAATGTTTTATCAATCCATATGCACAGTAATGAAAAAAACTCTTAAATTCCAAATCATTTTATAAAGCTTTAGAGTTATTTTACTTATGGCAAAACACATTCTGCTCAGAATAGTGATATCAATGAAATTCTCATTATAAAAAATTCAGGGTTTGTAGGGTTTCCCTTATTTTGCATAACAAATTTATTTTAAGTACTTTACTGAACTTCTCAACTTCCTCTCACATTTTCTCGCCAGGATGTAAATTTAAAGTTAAGTGAGTATTTAAACGGGTGAATCTCTGAGTTTATTCAGAACGTGTTTTTGCTAGCCAGCAACCGTTTTGTTGCTATTTCGCTGTTATGTTAGTAAGCCTCTTCGACATTCCGGATTTTTGTCATGCCTGTTAGGTTTTTGTGAGTCAACCTATTAGGCGTATTTTAATGTGCTAATCCAGCACTACTTTATTGCACATTTTGACTTGAATTTGAGTTTCTCTGCAAGTTGACGGCACCATTGTAAAGCACGAAGATCCTGCCTTTCTGTTAATTATTTGATATTAATTAAAGGGTTACTTTTCCCTGTTCTTTAGTGCAAATATATATGTTAAATCAAAGATTTCAAAGATGTTTAGCAATTATAGCATTTGCAATCTTATAATATCCATTTTATAATAAAATATTAGCCATAAGGGGGTAGGAGTGTCATTATAGTGCTTCTTTAGACTTACTAACCTCTAAATTTCTTTATTTGCAGCTGCTCTATAATAATAGAGTTAATAATATAAAAATTCAAAAGCCATTTATTTTCCAGCTGAACATAAAACAAATGTTCTAGAAAATTCGCAAATCAGAATGCTTCCAGTCATTCAAATGTTTTGTTTGGGGATCATAAGAAATTATTTAAATTCCAATGCAAGATATAATTGGGATTCTAGAAGGTCAGATGATGGTTTCACAAACCTGCTAACATCTTCATTCACATCTAACTCCTTGCAGTTTATTATTCTGAAATGAATAAGTGCATAGCTGACCAGGGAAAAACATCATAACATTACTACTAAAGAATCACATTTTTGCAGTCAACCCATATTGCATTATTTGAGTTTTGACTCAAGACAATCAAGTTCCTGCAATTTTCTCAGAAGCACCAGAGCAAGATCTTGATACACAGATTGTAGAATTGTGCTCATTCTAGCACTTTTCATACCAGTGCAAAATGGCTGATTTATGAAGACAGTTATTACTAGAGGTTTCATTCAACATTTTAACCACCCAAAATAAATGTATTATTATTAGTACAGTTATACTATTACAGTTTCAAAGGAAGTTTTTATATCCAGAATGAACAGCTACTGCAGGAAACTTGAATTGATGGTTATATAATAAATGAGTTTCCTCCAAAAGCATTTAAATATTTTAAAACCCCTCATGGTGAGGAATAAGTGCTCAGTTTCGGAAAATATTTTTACCATACATTAAAAATAACAGAAGGGATGGAATATACAGACCAATCTTTAATATGCTACATATTCATGTATTCATTACTTTCTTTGTCGTAGCTTACAGAAAACTGAACAGAAAAATCTTCAGCTTTAGAATTTTAAATAAGCCACAGTTTTACACAGATATAAAAGCATCCTATAACTAGATAACAAAAATTTGTTACAACTGATACATAAAAGAAATATAACATAATATAACCAACTATTCAATTATCAATTAGTGGGACGACAACAAACAAACAAAAAAAAGCAATTCTTTTAATACACTTTAAATTTTAAAATGAAATGCAGTGCTCAACTCTCAAAATGAAAGAACTATTTGAGAGTGCATTATAGCATTCTCAAAAGGCAAGAAAATGAATGTACAAAATTTCTTAAAGCAGATGAGTGCAAAGAGTACCACACAAACGTATATATTTCAGTATTTTGCTAAAGGCTAAATAGAATACTAAGATTTTTAATCTATGGATATAAAAAAACAGCACTTCTTCCTTTAAATTTTTAAAATTAAAAATTTATAAAAATAAGAATTTATAATATCAAATAAACTAAGTTTCTTGATAATTAAATTAAATAAACTAAGTTTCTTGATAATTAAAAAAACTGAAAAATAAAAATGAAAAGACAAATTACAGATATTAAAAATTATCTCTTACTTTAATAACTCTGGTTGAATGCACATTTTATGTAATACTTCCAGAGCAAGAGCTCTTTGCCATGAAGGCTTGTCTACATCTAAAAACTTCACAATTAATGACAAAAATATTTCACATTCTGTAACCTACAAAATGGAAAAATTTTAAAAAGTACAATTTAAACAACAATCACTCGGTTAGTAATACAAATACACAGGCCAACACATAAAAAACTACTATCAGATCACACACTTGATTATCAACTATTTAATCATAGAAAACAATTAATGAAGGTTATGGAACATATTCAGTCAAACATATTATGATGCTCTCAGTTTAAAAAATATATTCCTTTATCAAAAGCAACTTATTGACACAAATAGTATTTCAACACAGAAAAATGATTTATCCAAAAAATTGCAGGAAGATAAACATTTAAACGGAAGTACATCAGTGAATTATCACATCAGAAATTAAAATTTTTAATTAATGGCACTACATAACTGGATCAGTATACAATTGAGAAAACTTCTTAATTACTTAATTACTTAATTTGAATTTGAACAGATATATATATATATTCATAAAAAAATTCTTCATATTTTAGATTTCAAGCCCTAATATATACTGTGTCTTTGAGAGATGAGCTTAAAATTTCAATATACAGTAAAAGCTCTGCATATAGCTCCGGAATTACTGAATGCTGGATAAGTGGAAATTCGAGACTGTTGAGTGAATACAGAGGACAAACCATGGTTGAAAAGCCAAATGAATGGAAGACGGTATTTTCCAGTCTAAAACTTAAAATGTCATCTTATTTGCTATCAACATCAATATACAAAGCCTATATCTAAAATTATGTAAGATTCCAGGTGTAAGTAAGTGCATTTTAGACATAAAAGTCAACATATTTCATTGTCTTAAAAGTAGAAAAGTTTAAACATCTGATTATGGAATCCGATCAAATTGGTGATGATACCATCAAAACTGTGCCTTTCATTTTGGCAGAAGTTTAAAGGAAATGATCACTCTTCATTTAGTTGGACAATCAACTTACAAGTTACAGATATAGCATTAAAGAACTTAAAATACTTAATTTTTCATGTTGTACTGCCAATGGTAATTTGTTTTCCAATAAGATGGCATATCATGCTCATTAATGCACATTTCTTGATGCTGCTTTCTAGACTTCAAGGAAGCGTTTCATTATGTTTGGCACAAAGGACTCATTAATAAACTTGCAATCATATACTTTCCTGCAATCTCATCATGTTAATTAATTCCTACCTCAAAAACAGACCTTTTCAAGTTAAATGTGAAAATATTCTTTCAGCTAAGAAAATTCTCACAGGCAGCGTCCCCCAAGGTGGGATTCTGACACTTGTTCTCTTCAGCATTTGTATTAATTATATGCACACCCTGCACAATTCTTATGTCATAAAATATGCAGATAATACTACCATCCCAACAAAAATCTATTAATCCACAGCTTGCAATTAATAATCTCCTATTCAGCATGAATATCATTAGTCAATTGTGGAAATTAAACACAAGCAAATGCTACATTGCCCTTTTCAGGAGATGTAAAAAAACTTCAACGTGTCAACACGGACATTACTCTTAATAATAAGATTCTCCCAATTCAATCAAATATTTAAGGCTTACTTTTGATAGTTAACTCACTTTCAAGGAACATATCACAGCAACACTAAATAAAGCTATGGCTATAAATCCAATCATTAGATGATCAAAGCTAATGACCTTTTGGAAAGTATTGGATATCTGGTTAAAACTTCTAAAAGTTACATGCCAGCAGCAGAATGAAGATCCTGATTCTTGATGCCAGGATCCAGTAACTTTGAAAACACTCCACTGCACGCTGATCAAAAAAAGGAAGCTTCCAAAATTTTAATCATTTTTATAAGATGCGGGAAAAACATATACAGAGCAATTAACTTACAGTCTACTACAGAAACTAAAATGGCTTATCAAGAACTAAATGGATTTACATACAACGTAGAGCTTCTATAAGACGTGGCCAGTGCATCTGCAATTTTTAAGCTTATAAGCAGCAAGTAGCTTTCACTACCACATTACGTGAAGAAGAGAGTGTTTTTAACTTTTTCACATTACCTGAAATTAAAATCTGCTTAGTGCGGTCATGTTTGTAAGATCTAAACGTGCCTGCAAACTGCTAAAACTGAATTTATTTCTATGACATTGTCTAAACATGTTTTTAAGTAATGACACACACTAATTTTCAACAAGACCAATGTTAAAATTGTTGTTATAATGCACAGTCGATAACATATATAAGGTACAATAAATAAGAAATATTGTGCAATCTTACTGTACAATATGTAACAAAGAATTTTAAATTAATTTCATAAGGATATTTAAAGATTCTTCATTCACTTTGCTTTCATATTAATATTCTCAATAATCCAGCACTGCAAATCTAATATATTAATAAGAACAATATCTTTATGCTACTTCGAGATCACCAGCTTCGTAATGAACAGAAGAATATTAATAATTTATTGTTATCTCAAGTTCAGCTCAACCCGCCGCCAGCTGGATGGATGGATGTGTGGATATTCTGGTGCAAAACCTTAAAGGTTATGTGTGCCGAACTACATGTCAGGCACTTAAAACACAGCTGATAGATAAAACAAGACCTGTATAACATCCAAAACTGATGAAATGATCAATGCTCATATTAAGTTTCCTATACCTGATATTAAATGTAAGTGTAAAATTCTAAAACATGAAATAATTTAAAATACATTTCATTAAAATACCAAGGTGTAACAGCAAAAACAAAATCAAATTAAATTATAAAGACCTGTCTCTTTCAGGTAGTCAAATAATTGGTATTGGCCTCTTTCCCGATTACAAGGTTTAGAGGTAAGTCAGAGTCATCAAAATATTTCAACTGAAGTCTGTTAAAATGTGGACATTCAATTAAAAAGTGACAAACAGTTAAAACATCATTACAGTTTGAACATACAGGCTAAATCTCGGCCTTCAACAGATAACCGTGCGTGGCTCGACTGATACAAAGGTGGGTTAAAATTACCTCCTCCCTCCGGTTTCTATTTGTCTCCCAGTACTCTAATTTAGGTTTGACACTCCCCAATTTATTCAAAACCTGAACGTACCAGAATAACTGCCATTTAGTTGAGATTCTTTGCTTGATGGTCATTTTGATATCATTAAAAGGAACAAGCGGATTCAACAAAGCAATTGCAGACTTTGCAGCTGTGTCTATCAGCTCATTACCTTTTATGCCTATGTGTCCAGGGACACAGCAGTAAAGAATATCATACCCTTGGCTCCTTCATTATGTATTATAAGAATGTCTACTAGCATAGGATTTCGAGTGTCAGAAAAATTACTTAAAGCTTTTATAGCGCTTAAAGAGTCTGTGTATATTGTGAACTTTTTCTGGATTTGTTTAGAGATTAATGTAAGAGCGATATACACAGCAGTAAAAACAGAACATGCATCTTGCAACTGTTTGTTTTCCAAACGACGCTCCTACATGACCAAATGATTTTGAACCGTCTGTATAAATGTGAATAAAAGTGTTGTATTCATCCCTGTGCTCAAGAAAAACTTGCCTGTATATTACTTCATTAGTGTCACTCTTATTAAGATGTTGAAAAACTTCCAGAAGCTCAATTTTTGGATTACACCAAGGTGGAATTTCTACATACTTCCCTGCCTAGACCTTGATATTAGACAAGCAAAATTTTTCTATCAGTGTTTCTGTTCTTTCTAAGAAAGGAAGTATATTAAGACGTGCAGGAAATAAATGTTTGTGAGAGTCATCAAGCCTACAGACTTGGAGGGGATGATCAGAGTGAAACACAATACTGAAATACTGGTAAAGAGACAATTGCTCACCGTTTTGAAAGCTCCTGAACTAATCTTCAGAGCCTGATGATGTACGGGATCAAGCTTCACTAAAACAGAACGTCATGAAGATTTATACACATTTGAGCCATAGTGTAATCTGGTGCGTACAAGTGATCTGTAAATATGAAGTAATGAGCTACATTCCACACCCCAAGTATTTTTAGTAGGTTTACTATTTTGAAGCACTTCTTCCCTAAATATAACACATGAGGAAGAAAGGTAAGCTTAGGATCAAACACCACTCCTAAAAATTTTACTTCAGAGACAACTGGAATCAACGAACCCTGAAGGTAAAGCTCAGGCTCAGGATGAAGATTCCGCTTTTTACAAAAGTGAATGCACACAGTCTTCTCTTTTGAAAATATAAAGCCCTCACACTCTGAATACTTTTGAATCCTATTCAGAGCGATCTGCAACTGTCTCTCCACGTATCTCATATCAGCACCTTGATAACTTATCTGCAGGTCATCAACATATAGTGAACCTAAAATGGAAGGCAGAAGTTCTTTCAAAACAAAGTTTATTCTTAAGCTAAAAAGAGTAACACTAAGAACACAGCCTTGAGGCACGCCTTTTTCTTGACAAAACACATCTGATACCACTGAGCCAATTCTTACTTGAAAAAAACCTAGCCTTCAAGAAATTCCTTATGAAAATTGGCAGGTTGCCCCGCAAGCCACTGCTGTAAAGATCACACAATATGCCATATCTCCATGCCTTGTCATAAGCTTTTTGAATATCAAAAAATATTGACACTAAGTGGCTTAGGCTTTACGGATGGAGGTTGGCACATCTGAATCCAAAACTTCCATGAAGGTGAAGAGGACTTGCTTTAGTTTAAAATATGGTGGGATGTGTCAGCTCTCTGTTATGTACCCTAATAAAAACCAAGGTGAAAATCTTATGATTTTGCTGTGAAGTCGTGCTTATCCACCAATTGGAACTGAATCACTGATTGGTGACAATGCTTTATGAATGGATTATTCAATTATGACAGAGCACACAAGGGCTATCTGCCTAAAGGCAGGGATGCCTTCGTGGAGGACTTTCTAAGGCAAACTGGCTCGTATACATGTTACACATGGGGAAAACCACGAAAACGCCCATTCGCAGGATTCGAACCTCGGACCGAACTACCAGTGTTCAGCGTCTTTACTGCTCGGCCACTGCTGGGCCCGACAATGCTTTATGATGGATTTACAAGTCGCTGATTTGCTCACTTTTC